CGTTTAATTCAATTATTTCCACTTTTTAAATTTTTGGTGTTAGCATAGCAGGCCACGTGTTACTTAGACTAAAGTGTAAATTGAATTCATATTATAATGAAGATAATACAGTGAAATTAATCCTGTTTTTTACTTATTTGTGCTTCATTGATCAAAACTTTATAATTTAATTTGAATATATATATGTAAACATTATCACATAATTATAAAATTTAACTAAAATGTCAATGAAAACATGATACACAATTTCCTACACTTTTTCAATAGTTGTACAAATATTTTTTTTTATTGTTTTTATTTAACCTCTATTAAAAATTATTTAGCACTTATTATTTCAATGTACTATGATAACAAGTTTTTCAGATTTTTTTCTTATATTTAAACGATTAAATTAGTATTTCAATTCTTACTGAAATTATTATTTAAACTCTATAATTTAAATATGTATATGTCAGTATTATCACATAATTATAAAAGTTAATTAGAATGATTTTCAATTATTTTTTAAGAAACACAAGAAGAGTAAGGCCGAGTAAAAGAGTAAACCATAGAAGGTACAAATAGAAGAAACGAGATGTTCTACATGTAAAAGTAACAAAAAAAAGAAAAATACCAGAAACATAGAACAAGTTTTTCACTTCGAACAAATTAATATTAATTTCCGTATATATTATATGTATAACCGCAATTTTTTTGGTAATTAGCGTTCTTAATTTGAAATAAATAACTGAAATACTCGGCTTTAGTTGTTATAGGTAGTATCTATTTTATTTAACAATTTATTGACAACTTTTTATTATTTTTGCCTGATGCGTGGACTTGTAGGTATGTATATATGTACTTGTGCAATTAAAAACTCGTTGAAGAGATCAATGCACTTTGTACCTGTGTACGAGTATGCACGAATGGTTTGGCTGAAAGATTTGTACGCAATCCTGCTTGTTGCTGCAAGGGTATTGAGGGATGTATGCCAAAGTGGACTTTGAATATAAAATATAAATTTAGTTTGAACCAATATGTACGTATATTGTTCACAATATTTTATATAATGTAATACGATTTTATTAAATAATCCATGTTTTATTTTACCGAACCGTGTTATGCGAGATGTTCGAATGGTTTTCTTATGGGTATATAAGTATAAGCGGATTGTTATACTAAGTATATGTAAATGCAAATAAGCGTGTTAGTATAATCGTAAAAAGGGCGCGAGAGAGAATTGGCAATATCAGATATGGGCGCAATTCTCCGTAAGCACTTTATGTACGTTTGTAATTGTATGTATGAATGATGTATAGCATATATACATATGTATGTAAACTAAAATACGTGTTTATACGATATAAAATATTTAATATGGAAAAATATATATGTATGTATATATAATTATGTATGCTGTATATATGTGTCGGAATATGTAATTTTATATAATCTTTTGTATTTTTTCGTTTAATCTCGTTTCATGGATATGGTATGTATATTTATTTTGCTTTTTATGCTTTATTGTTGACGCTATAAAATTAATTAAATTTATTTGTAGTGAACGAAATACCGTTTAATTCAATTATTTCCACTTTTTAAATTTTTGGTGTTAGCATAGCAGGCCACGTGTTACTTAGACTAAAGTGTAAATTGAATTCATATTATAATGAAGATAATACAGTGAAATTAATCCTGTTTTTACTATTTGTGCTTCATTGATCAAAACTTTATAATTTAATTTGATATATATATGTAAACATTATCACATAATTATAAAATTTAACTAAAATGTCAATGAAAACATGATACACAATTTCCTACACTTTTTCAATAGTTGTACAATATTTTTTATTGTTTTTATTTAACCTCTATTAAAATTATTTAGCACTTATTATTTCAATGTACTATGATAACAAGTTTTTCAGATTTTTCTTATATTTAAACGATTAAATTAGTATTTCAATTCTTACTGAAATTATTATTTAACTCTATAATTTAAATATGTATATGTCAGTATTATCACATAATTATAAAGTTATTAGAATGATTTTCAATTATTTTTCTCATATTTAAACGATTAATTTATTATTTTCAGTCAAATGCCACCGAAAAATCTAACCTCAACACCGCGAGCACAGAGAGGCACGACGCAAACGTGTTAAAGAGCCCATCAGTTGGAAGAACAAATTGAATCAAGAAATCCAGCTCAAAAAATCAGGACAGCAGAGGTCATGCACAAGAATCTCAAGAACAGTGTAACGAACGTCTTCAAGAGAATATCATGAGAACAAGAGCAGCAGGGAGAACGAGACATAGCCACAGTGGAGTACAGGAACAATAATTTCAATTTATACATGTAAGTAATATCACATAGTTTTATAAAGTTAATTAATATATCAATGAGAAAATGGCACAAAGCTCCCCAACTTTTATAATAATTGTACAAAATTTTATAATTATTTTATTTAACCTCCATTGAAAATTATTTTGCACTTATTATTTCAATGTGCTATGATAACATGTTTTTCAGTTCCTCTTTCTATATTTTAACGATTAAATTATTATTTTCAGTCAAATGCCGCCAAAAATCTAACCTCAACAACGCGAGCAGCAAGGGTCACGACGCAAACGTGTTGAAAGAGTTCAGCAATTACCAGAACAAATCGAAACAAGAAATGCAGCTCAAAGAATCAGGACTGCAAAAGTCGTGCACAAGAATCTCAAGAACAGCGTGACAAACGTCAGCAACAGAATATTACGAGAACAAGAGCGGCACGAAAACGACATAGCTACAGTACGAGTACTAGATCGACAAAGGCAACGGATCAGCCGCTCATTAACACGTGCATCAGTCGTTCGGCTGTCTTTGAATATGCACCAGATATTAACTACTCAGCGCATTCAAAAATTGCTATCGGTGGAATGGATAAAGTATGTCAATATTGTCGGGCATTGAAATTTCGGAATGAAGCAGCCGCTCCGCCGGAGCCTTTATTATCTTCTTACTGGCAATTCAGATGATTCCAAATTATTTTTGCGTATTATACGCAAATTTAATTCTTGCTTCCAAATGACGTCATTTGGGGCAACTAAAATTTGCGATCGTGCATCCGATGGACGTAATTTTGAAACTACATTCAAAATTCAAGGCCAGGTGTACCATAAACCGGATCACTGATGCCAATGCCTGATAACAATCCGAAATTTCTTCAAATTTATTTTATGGGCGATTGTGAAGAGCGCGTGACGACTTGGTGCCTGTATAATTTTATTGAACAAGCAGAGGAAAGAGCAATTGTGATATTATTGGAAAATTTTTTAGAAGATCACAATCAACTAATTCAATTGATCAAAAGAGTTGTGCCACGACTGCAAAATGACAATTATCAAATCGTCATAAAGGCCGACAAAGTACCATTAGGTGAACATGCTGGTAGATTCAACGCTCCAACTCTTGATGAGGTTGCTGTTATCATGGTTGGTGATCCAGTTGACAATAGATTTATAAAAATGACACGGCGAGACAATACTGTCAGTACGATTTCGGATCTACACCGTTCATATGACGCACTACAATATCCATTGATATTTTGGCAAGGACAAGATGAATATCACCTTAATATCAAACAGTATGATCCAAATACCGGTAAATTTGACAATTATCTATTTAATTTCTTACTGTATGTATAGATTTTAATTTCGTATTGCATTTTATTTTTATTTTTAGGTGATTACAGAAATAAAAGTTAGCTCAATGAACTACTACGCACACCGAATAATGGTTAGACAACATCAAGACAATTATATCCTTCGATATCGTCAGCTGTTCCATCAATACATTGTTGATATGTATGCTAAGGTCGAAAGCGAACGCTTGCGATTCCTTCGATTCAACCAGGCAAAACTACGATCGAAAGAATATATTCACTTACGAGATGCTGTTTCTGGAAACATCGATGGAAATTTAAATCCCAAGGACATCGGTAATGCTTTCACTTTACCTTCAAGCTACATCGGCAGTCCACGGAACATGCAGGAATACATACAAGATGCGATGACTTACGTACGTCTTACAGCCGACCGGATTTATTTATTACATTCACATGTAATCCGAATTAGGAAGAGATACAAACTTTACTATTGCCAGGACAACAAGCCATTAATCGTCATGATTTAACTGCACGTGTGTTTAAACAAAAATTGAAATCTTAATTGATTTTATTGTTAAATATTCAATTTTGGCACACCGTTGTTGGCTGTATACGATAGAGTGGCAAAAGCGAGTTTGCCTCATTTTGGTTTGGCTTAAAGATAGAATCCGTCCTGAAAAATCGATCAAATAGTTTTAGCCGAAATTCCAGACCCATTAATTGATCAAGAATTATTTTGATATTGTCACCAAACACATGATCCATGGGCCACCGCGGTGCTTTCAACATGACGTCACCGTGCATGGAAAATGGAAAATGTAAAAACTTCCCAAAGCCGCATACGAATGACACGATCACGGATATTGATGATTATCCAATGTATCGCCGCAGAAGTACTGAGAATGGTGGCCACAATTTACAATGCGACTACCGAACTTTCCAAATCAAGTTGAGTTTGATAATCAGTGGGTGGTACCATACTCACACATACTTTCAAACTTACAAAGCTCATATCAATGTTGAGCTTTGCAGTTCTGTTAAATCAATTAAGTATATTTGTATAATATGTAAACAAAGGCAGTGATTTGGCCATATATGAAGTACAAAACGTAAATAAAAATGACGAAATAGCACGATACCAAATGGCCAGATACATTAGCAGCAATGAAGCTATTTGGCATACTCTCAGCTTTCCCATCCACGAAAGATATCCTGCTGTCTAACATCTGTCAATACATCTTGAAAACGGTCAACATGTATACTTCACTGAAGAAAATGTTCTCTAAAGAGCCTTCGAAGCTCCGAAACGACTCTAACTGACTTTTTACATTGTGTCAAAATCTGATGTTTGGCCAATTCGCGAAGGCATTGGTGTATGGTATGTTCCACGTTATTTCACATGGAACAAATCCAGTAAAAAATGGGAGCCACGGAAACAAGGAAAACCACATCCTTCCATTACAGGCATATTCAAAGCTAAGACATTGGGGAGACTTTACACGGTACATCCAAAGCAACGTGAGTGCTTCTATTTACGTTTGTTATTGGTGAATGTTCCCGGACCAACGTCTTTTAAATTTTACGAACAGTTAATGGTCGAGTATTCAATACATACCAATGCATGTCGTGAACTGCAATTGCTAGAAGACGATAACCATTGGGACTTAACGCTTGCTGATGCTGCGTTGACATCAACACCGAATAACATTCGTCAGTTGTTTGCAATTATTTTGACGACATGTTATCCTCGCAAGCCCAAACTTTGTGGGAAAATATAAAATTGTATGACAGAAGACATCTTGCACCGAATTAGAGAAACAAATCAATGCCAAAACATAGATTATACACCAGAGATGTACAATGAAGTATTGGTCTTGATCGAGGATTTATGTGTTCTTATTTCAAATTTACTTACCACTTAATCATTTGGTATGCCATCACCTAATCGTCCAGCCACCGACTTAGTCAATACGATTTACAACGAGAAAAGCAATATGACCATGAAAGTTTAGCAACAATTACCATGAGCAGTGAACCATTCCTGACAGCAGAACAAAAATTATTTATAATCGGATTATGCTGGTTGTTGCTGCTGAACAAGGCGGTTTTTTCTTGGATGCACCCCGTGGAAATACGGTCGCAACAAAAATCGCATTAGCAGTATCATCGTCAGGCATTGCGGCTACTTTACTGGATGGTGGGCGAACAACACATTCAACATTCAAGCTGCCATTGACGTTCATAATAAACCAGATGCAATTGTAACATCAAAAGAATAGTGGAATAGCTGCAGTGTTGCGAAGAGTCCTATAATAATTTGGGAGAGTGCACAATGGCACACAAATATTCACTTGAAGCATTAAACAGAACTATGCAAAATTTAAACAGCAATAATAAACTTTTCGGTGGTGCTATCTTACTTTTTGTCTGGTGACTTCCGGCAACCTTACCGGTTATACATCGCTCTACTTTCGCGGATGAGATTAATGCATATTTGAAACAATCATTCTTATGGCGTAGTGTTGACCATAAATATGCGAGTACAATTGCAAAATGATCCATCAGCACAAATATTTTCCCAACAACTACTAGATATTGGGAACGGTAAAATAGAACTGCAACCAAATACCAATGCATTAAACTACCAGACAATTTTTGCACTGGTTCAGGATAAAATGAATTGATTCAGAGTATTTTCCCGGATATACAGAATAATTATTTGAATCATGAATGGCTTAGTCAACGGGCGATTTTGGCAGCCAAAAACGTTGATGTTGACGAAATGGAAATAATAAATCAGATAAATTTTTACTTTGTATGGATTTCTGCTAAATATCAAGTGTAAGAACATTTTAATTAATTGTGTTCAACGTACTTCCCCCTTCAAATCTCAATCCAGTGAATTTGTATACCAACACCAACTTTGTTCGTAAATAATTTCACTGTACTAAAGGGTTATAGTAGTAGAAAGTCAAATAAGGAGATCACCATATTTTTTTACAAATACCATCTGTGTGAAAAAGCATAGTGGACTCCGTGACTGGTGTTCTCTTATTGTTCCTCTTAGATTGTTTACTATAATGTAATATAACAAAACTTTAGCACAGCAACGCTGGCCGGGTCAGCTAGTATATTATATACATTTATAATCTTTGTATATATGTATGTGCATGAATGTACTATATATATTACAATAAACGGTTTTCGTAATTTGAACCCGCAATATAAACCGGTAAGTTAGACCAACTTGCCGACCTTTACCAAAATATTGAAAGGTTTTTGTTTTATTGCTGTGTTTTGTACTAGATATAAACTGTAATTCGCAATAAATCTACATATGTAAGTGCACAAATATTAAATGGAATCGAATTACTCACTTTGAGATCCTCCAAGGGCTTTTGAGGAATACATGAAATTGCGTTTATATAGTTACTGTATGTTCATACGTCTATGTGCTTCTGTGTTTCTTTCAATTCCTTTGTCCTCTGTTCTTTTGATTTTGTGTGCTAGGTGTTGCTTTTGTGTATTTCTTTTGTCAATTCGCACCCGTATGTGTTATTGTATATAAGATTAAATTTGGTTTAAAGATCGCGCCCGCCATGACTTTGGGATTATTTTCGCTCCCGTTTTGTGATTATTGTTGTTATGTATGTAAATTAATATGTAGTTTAAGTTTTATCTCCCGTTTTCGTTTTTCCTCACACCAATTTTAAGTCTTTATTCTATTTGTTGTAAATATGTACACATGGGGTGTTTTTGTTTTTCTTTTGTTCAGGAAAACACAATGTATGTAGGTATATAATATATAAACTACACTTCACAGCCTTTGGACTTTTTGTTTTTGTATTGTAACACTGCACTGCACTGTCACTTTAGGTAGCTTTGTTTTTGTTTTCACTGTTCCACTGCACTTTGCGTGTTTATTTATATACATATATATATTTTTAGATTTTTATTTGTTTTATATCTCTATACTGCCTTTCTTTTAGGCTCGAAGGACCATGTATATTTCTTTGCAAACCTTTAAGACATTTTGAACACTCCACCTTTAGCTTTTAGTATGATTTATTTACAAAAATTTTTTTTTTTTCTTTTTTTAATCACTCCGTTTTCAGATGCGCGCA